CGCGGCGCCCGGCCAAGCCCAGCCACATCTGCCAGGAGGCACCGGCATGGAGCGTCAACGGCCTGAGCCCCATGGCAGGCTCGGCGGGGCAGGTGACAGTGGTGGCCCTTCTGAAGGCCAGCTGACACTTTTGCCTGCAGCAGGCCCACAGGTGAGCCCCGCTCCCTCTACCCCAAACCCAGCCCTGCCATCCTGGGGGCCGGCATGGCGGCACCCCAACCTGGCACCCCCCTCCCAATGTCGCCTTCCCGGCAGCCTCGGGGGCCTGCAGGAGAGGCTGGCCCGGCATGGCACGGTCGACGTCCGCTACATGATTGTCAACGAGAAGGCGCCGCTCTCCCGCGCCATGTTTGGGGAGCTGGAGCGCCAGGCCCCACCGGGTGTCCCCGTCTTCCAGCCGGAGCCAGAGGAGCCTGACGTCTGGCAGGTCTTGGGGGGTGACAAGGACGACTTCCTCATCTATGACCGGTGAGTGTCCCCCATCTCGGCTGAGGCTTTTTTGGAGGGTTATGGAGCACTTGGTGGGCTTACAAACACCCCTCCCATGGCTGGGCTGGGAGGGCCCCAAGCCCCCCACTCAAGCTGGACCATGTCTTCTCCCTACAGGTGTGGCCGCCTGGCTTTCCACATCCAGCTGCCCTATAGCTTCCTCCACTTCCCCTACGTGGAGTCAGCCATCCGCTTCACTCACAACAAGGACTTCTGTGGCAACTGCTCCTTCTACCCCAACAGCACCCAGGAGGTAAAGAACAGGGCTGCTCACTGGAGCTGGGCTCCCTTTTCTCCTCTGGCGTTGCACATCAGGAAAAAAAAAAAATCTTCATATTGAGGGTGGACTCTGGGTTGGTAGCTATCCTTGGCCATGGTTGAGCGGGAATGTGATGAAAGGTCTGGAATAAGGGCAGTTAAATAAGTCAGAGCTTTCAGGCTGGGAAGGAACAGACTGAAGGGGTCATTACTAGGGTGGCTGGCTGCTGTGATGCAAAAAAGGGGCAGGCAGTAGACCCAGAGATGGCAAACGCAGAGGCAAGAGGAGGATGTAGCTTTGCGCTAGCAGGCAATTAGTGACTTGCTAGGAGAAAAGTCCACCTAGAAATATTAAATGCAAAGTCCCTTTCGTAGCTCAGGAATTCCCTGGACCACAGACAGCTTGAGCCAAGGGATGTGCAACATAGGGGTATTATGTTCTATGTGCTCCAGCCTCTCCTCTACTCCCTGCACCCTGGCTTGGGGGTGGAAAGCCTTTGCTTTGACCCACAGAGCTTTCTGTATGACAGATGCTGGTCTGCTTTCATCCCAGCTCACAGGCATCCTTGCAGGCTCACTGCGGGGCTCTGTGTGCATTCACATACTGCACCAGCCCTCATGTTACTCTCCTCAGGCTAACAGTACCATGGAGGTCCCTGTAACCCCAAGCCCACTTCCCGAAGAAGAGGGGAAGGAGTCAGAGACCGCCATCCACCAGCACAGCCCCCTCCATCCTCACCACCACCACGAGGTCAGCAGCGAGAGAGCCACAGACCCGAGTGGGGACCATGAACCTGCTACCCATGCTCACCACCACCACGGAGACCATGGCCAGCCCCACGACAAGGGGAAGAAGCCGGGGGAGGGAAACCAGCACTAAATCAGGCTGGACCACCTCGCTGAGCCCAGTAGCGTGCAGACCATGCCGGCGCACTTCACAGAGGCATGGAAGGACTTGCTTTGAGCTGCTGGTCACCAGCAGCGTTGGTATAACAACCCCCTCCAGCATCCCTCATGTGGGTCATACTCCTGCGCTGTGGCCAGGGTGAAGATCCCCTGCAGCCCCCCTTCCACGGTGCTGCATTTTCAGCCCCAGGGCTCGGCTCTGAGCCTCCCTCTGCCGCTGCGTGCCTTTCCGTGCTCAATGAAGCCTGCCGTGCAAACCGGGAGGTCCTCGGTCACTGCTGGCTGACACTGCACGGGGCAGCAGGGCAGGGGTGGAGGGGACAGAGCTGGGGTGAGAGCAGCACTGCCGGCACCCCTAGGTGTCCTGGCACCAGTGTCCTGGCCGGAGAGGGAGGGGAAGACCAGCGTGTGTCCCGCAGGAGGTGATCCCAGGGGATGGGGGCACAAGGAGTGGTGGGAGGTCGTAGGTCCCCATGGTCTAAACCCTGTAACCCCATGGCTGTCACATCCTGGGGACCCTCCAGGCCTTGCACACGGGTATGTGCAGTGGTGATGGGTGGCCGCAAGATGGTGGCCTTGTCCCCTCTTGGAGACCTAGGGGCTGTATCCAGGGTCCACAGCCCTGGGAGGACGGGGATGAGGATCTTGGGGTCTTTCCTGGGGGAGAAGCAAGACTGGAGGGCGATGCATATGTCCAGAGTACGAATAAAACCTCTGTGAAGTGAACCCTGCTCAGCCTGGCCTCTGGTGGGACCCCTTCCCCCGTGAGGGTGGGAGGCTTTCTTTGTGCTGGGCTGGTCCTGGGAACAGGGAGGGACTTGGGGCTGGATGTGGACCCCGTGTAGCAGCAGACAGTGGTGTTTTGCTTTACCCTGTGTAGAAGCCTGGAGGTAAAGGGGTTGAAGACCAAGGAGAGACTGTCTTTTCACACCTTATGGTTACCTCCTGCCAGGATGTGAACCCAGGACTGTCCTATTGTGGTCCTTATGTACTCCCCACCTCCCTGGGCAGGACATTATCCCTGCACTATCAGGAGGACGTTTGGCTCATCACCTTGATGTCTGGCTTCTAGGTGTGATGTTGGTGTGCCTGCCTGGAGCTGCTGTTGTGGGGCCAAAGTTCCCACATGCAGTCCAAAGTCATCTTGGCCATCTTGTCCCCACTGCCCAAACTGGTCCCCATTGTGAGCATGTGATGGGGGTCTCCAGCCCTCAAGCAGCTGGGCACTGCATCCCTGGAAGGCAGTCATGGCTGCCTGCAGCCTGGGCTGCCCTCATGCCTGTCTCAGCCCCAGAGCCCTTCACTCCAGCTCCATCCATCATCCCTTACAGCCCCCCACTCAGTCCCTTCCCTGAACTTTCCATCTCCACTTTGGGCCCCACAGCCTGAGTGGGGAGAAAGAGATGTTTTTTTCTGCTCAGTGTTATCTGGTGCTATACTGGTGTGTGTCCTGCTGCCAATGCTCTGAGCTGAATTTCAGCCCCACATCCTGGGAGACTGCAGCCCTCTGCTTTGTCTGCACAGGGATACTCTGCTCAGCAACTGGGGTAACAGCCAGGGTGAGGAGGTGGTGTTCCTTGTGGGGATGAGGGCAACAGGATCAGGTGGGCCTTTCTCACCAGCCCTGGGAAGCCAGCCAGGCTCTCCCACCGGTGGCTATCTGAGACCCTCCTCCCCCTCCTTCATCTCTCTTGCTCTTCCCCTCCTCCTCCTCCTGCTTCCTCCTCTACCTGCTCCCAGCAGCCCACAAGGGCACCTCTGTCTGCTGCTCCTGCCATCAATATTGAGGTTATCTTTTTCTTCTGGCAGCTGCTGTAATTGAAACAAAGCAGGCCGGGCCTCACGGGCTCCACTCCTCTCGCTCATTTTGCTGGTGCTGCTGAGATAACTAATTCATCTTATCGATGCATGGTTGGCCTCTTTTCTACCAGATCCAGGCAGAGCCCTCTCCCCGCCACAGCTGGTAGGAGCAGTCTATGGTTCCTGTGGTGTGCTGCTGGATGCTGCTCTGACTCAGCCTCTGGTCCTCAGCTTGCAGCAGCTGGGTGCTGGCCACCAGCAGGAGATGCCAGGGGAGCCAGCCAGTGGGGGAGAGGTGCAGACTGTGAGGGTACTGGTGACTTTATCTCTTTCTTTTGCCTTCTGATGCTTCCTCAGCCCTTTTGTTAAATTCCACATCCTTTCCTTGCACGGCTCATTAACGTTATCCCTGGTGAGGAGGTGACAAGTGATGAGTGGGGCATAGGCAGATTTGCAATCTCTTGCTGAAGACCAGGTCTGCAATGAGCAGTGGCAGATAGAGGGATCACGTCTGGTGGTGGGTGGGTAGTTCAGTGCCATTGTGCTGCACTGCTACCATTAGGTTACCTCCCAGCAGAGGAATTCTCAGCCCTGAAGGCTCGGGTTGGTATTTTGCTGTGGGAGGAGAAATTGAGGTGTGGGAAAGAGCTGTGTCCCGGTTTGGGTGAAGTCCTATGTGTCTGATTAATGACAAGGGTTTAGGGTGAAGCCAATGCTGCTCCATGTATTATTGTCCAAAAGCTAAGGGATTTAGGGGTGCTGTGCTTGGGGCCTCCATGGTATCACTCGCCCCCCAAAAGGTGCCAGAGACCTGGAGCTCTGCAAAATCTCTGTCAGTGTCTGCACTCTTGCAGTGTTGAGGGAGAGCTTTGTTCTGAGTGGGGTGGAGGAGAGGTGTTTTCGGGGAGTTAACAGGCTCTTCACGTTGCTGATATCCTGGGGAGTGATGTTGTTAGTGGGAGTCAGAGAGCCCCAAAGAGTGCTCAGCTGCTGGGGGGCTGGCTCAGCAGGGCAGAGTCCAGGGCAAGAAACTAGGGCTGACTTCAGGACCTGGTAGTGCTGCCCCATGGTACCCTGGTACCGATGGCTGCACCCCAGAGGAGGACAGATTCCAGTTCCACATCACATGCAGCCTTGGCCTTGTGTGCCGCTCCTGCTGAGAGCCAGGCAGATCATCTCAGAAGAGATGGAACAGCCAGTCCTAAAGTCAACAGAGGCCTCTTGTGCAGGGATGCTGTGTCAAGAAGAGGAATGGGTCCCTCCTCCTCCACCGATTCATCTGGCAGTGGGGCTGGCGTGCCGCCAAGCCAGGCTGCTTTGGAAACATTTCATTGAGGAGGCAGCTGAGCCTAGGAAAACAGAATGAAAATATACAGAGAGATCTCTGTTGTTAGGCAAAGTAAATGCGGGTGGCTGCATTTCAGTCCCCCAAGTCTAGCCCAGCCGGGCCCCTCTTGCTTCTGTGGGGTGAGAGTGAATGCTGCTGCCTGAGGATGGCAGACACTCGTCTCTACTGTGGGTTAGAAGCTATGGAATGAGGGCTGGAGAGACCACCCTTTGCTTTGGCCGGCTTGCTGAAGTCCCTGGTGAGTGGGTTCAGACTCATCTCCATGTAACATCACCCAAGGAGACGGGACAGAGCAGAGCAACAGCTACAGAAATGAGCCATCCCCAGTGACTCATGTCCCCTGCATGGCCACCAGTGCTGGAGGCCACTGAAGATGGAGCTGAGGAAGTGCGTCACATATTGGCCTCGTTCACTCCTGTCTCCCTCCTGAGCATCAAACATGAGTCCTGGCTGGGCATGAGATCACCAGTGGGACAGAGTACAGCCCTCAGGCTTTCAAAGCCCCATGGCTTGGCACACCCCATCTTCCATATACTGGCAGAGGAAGAGCAGAGTCACCCCAAAGCTGTCCCCAGGGACAGAGGTGGAAGCAGCTCTCTGACTTTTGAGCAAAGGTGTATTCAAGAGATTCTGCTCCCATTGTTTCCCCTGTAACCTCTCTCCCCTCACTCCAGAAGCCACCAGGTCTCTCCCTGGCTATTTGCTGACCTACAAGAGCTCCGTCTCAGCTCTCACATTCCCTCCTGGTGGGTCCAGAGCGGCTTGGCCGAGACAGAGGTGGAGCCTTTTTTTTTTTTTTTTTCCCCACACGGATGTGCCCTTGAAAATGTCTTTGGAATAGATGGTAAGGAATGACCCAGACCAGACGCTGAAGATGTCTGAATTCTGGCTCCTGCAACCTGCTGCTGAGAGTGGCCTGGGAGGATGGCAGATGTGACAGTGATGGCCCCAGTGACACCTGAGAAACCACACCTTGGTAGCTGTAGAGAGCACAAGTACCAGGCACAAAGAGAAATATTATAAATTGGGCTGAAGTGATGTGACTTGTGTCAAAGCTGGCTTTTTATCAGGTGGGTTTGCTTTTTTTTTCCCCAGCCACACAGCCAATCAGCATACAGTAATAAGGCCACATAGCCAGCTAGCATCCAATGATGTGGCCCATCAGCCCTGTGGCACTGTAGCTTCCCAGCCAATCAGCCATGGGGTATTGTGACTTCCCAGCTAATCAGCTGTGCCTGGTGCTCCACTGGAAGTGGCACTGCCCAGTTAGGTCTGCCCACCCCATGGGAGCCTCTCCTGGCCAGGCTGGCAGCTGGTGGCCAGGTTTCATGCCTTCATCTGAGACAGGCCCCACCATTCCCTTGTTCCACTGTTGATTATGCTCCAGCACTAAGAGGCTGTAGCTTCTCTTTGAGTGTGAATTTGTCCAGCTTTCAGCCTCTTACGCATTGTTTTTTAGCTCACAGCATCTGTACATTATCTTCTCTCCATTACAGATTTCTTTTTTTCTGAAAAAGTGAAATAATTCAGCATGTTGTTTCTTATGAGTTTAATTTCTCCCTCTTCTCCTAGAAGGCCATTCCCCACCAAGAGTTATTTACATTTTAATTGTCATTTGCCAAGTCTGATAAACATAGAGGGTAAAAGGCTGGGATGACACAAAGAGGTTATCGTGTGACCTACCACAGGTTCTCTGCCAGCGGAAGGTAGCAGGACCCTGGGTGGTGGAGGGTGGAGGGATGAGCCTCAGCCTTGGCCCGACTCCAGCTTCCCACTCGGCCGGATCCTGCAACCCACTCGTGTCTCCAAGGCCAGGGCAGCCCTGA